ATAAATATAAACACATTAAGCAAGCAAGATAAACAATCAAATTATAAGTTCAATGCTACCTTGTTCACTTAGTATAATTTGGCCTCTTTAAGGGGTCAGTGTTTTCCTTGATTCTTCTCCACAAAACCTATCAATTCATATATAAACACATTCTAATTTATCAATAATTCAAGCATATACAGTCTAGGGGTGCACATGGGCAGGGCTAGGCAGGGCAGAACCCCTGCCCGATGCCCAGCCCGAAACATGAATGGGCTTCATTTTGCAGCCCGCTGCCCGGCCCTGCCCATAGAAACTCTAACCATTTTGGGCTGGGCATGGGCGGGCTGGGCAGGGCGGGCTTTGCTGCCCAAATGGTGATGACCTACCGATATCACATGTAAAAAAACTTTCATCCATACCTGAAAATTACATTTCATAATTTTATATTTTCACACATTAAAATTATCCAAAAATAATTCAAAACAAGTCTTAGGAAATATCCAAATAAATAACATTCATAATCTATTTAGAACAAAACAACTCTCAAGATTGTAATTAAAGTCTTGAAATTCAAACGGTTTGCATTAATCTCCAGAAAATTGAGAAAAGAATAAAACATCTGAAAAAATTGAAGAGGGGTTGAAGCACATTGAGATATTCCATTGGGAGCCAGGGATGGCGATGTAATAGAAACTTGATTATCCATTTAAGTGGCAAAAATTAAATGTTACCTAAAGGATTGCAAAAAGATATTAAAACTGAAGCAATAGGCTAACAGGAATAACATAGACCATATAAAAATGGGGTGAAAATAATTGTAAAAAGAAAAATAAAAAATCTTATAATCTCATAATAATTTAATATAACGACTTTTAATATGTAAATACTTATTATGCGATACAATGCAGTTAGCAGTCCATACAACTAAAAGACTTCTTTCTATCATATGACTTGTTCATAAAAAATTAATACAAAATAACTAAATATAAATTAAATAGAAAACATGTAATTCAGATAATTAAACCCCAATTTTCTTTCCATGCTCCTACCCCAATCTTGTTTTCTATCTTGCATAAATATTCAAAATTGTTTATTTATACAAATATGTAATGTATGAACTCCATTCTCTAATAAAGAAAGTTGTTAATGACATAGAGGGGAAGATTGACTTATAAATAGCCAACACTACAACAACAACAAACAATAGGATATGCACAATAAAGCTCACGAAGAACAAGTTAAAAACAAGATACTACTGCTTCTTTAGAAGAATTAGATCCCCTAAAATAGAAAACTAATAGACATGTAATAATAATAAGTTAAATTGCAAAGAGGAGGGAGATAACTTTTTTTTAGGTAAAGAAATGTAATATATTAATATTATTTTATAAATTATAATATATATAATCTGGGCAGGGCCAAATGGGCAGGGCAGCATGTCCTGCCCGATGCCCAGCCCTGCCCATGAAATGCCCAGCCCTGCCCATGAAATGCCCAGCCCAAAGATGCCCATTCTTTTTCGGGCTCTTTTTTTTCGGGCTGGGCTGGGCAATTTTTCTTCGGGCTCGGGCAGGCTCTGCGGGCATTTGGGCTTCATGCACACCCCTAATATACACTAATGCTTGACATTAAACTTAATTAAACCCATTTTTCTTTGATTTTTGACATAATTACTTCCTCTTTGTTTCCATAAACCTCTTGGTCCACTCCTACACAAATTTTCATATAGAATCCAAATATCAAATCAGATTTTACGAAATCACACTCCTTCCCCTTCAATTAGACTTGGCCGAATAGGGTAGTATATATTCCAAACATTCTATTTTTGATTTCAATGATTTCAAACACTTTTCCTTAGTGTTTCCCTGCACAAAAACACCTTTTGAATTTATTGGAATCATCAAAATACCTTGAGACAATCTCCTACCCCAAGATAACATAGTGGCCGAATTGAACCATTTAGAACCCTATCTTTGTTTTCTTCTAAAATTCAATCCAAACATCAATTAAACATGTAATTCCAAGCCTTAAATCATGGTTTCTATCCTTCCCTAATCATTCTTCATGTCAACTGAATTTTGGACAGCATGCAACCTTGAAAAACAACTCGAATTTCCAACTAAAACAAGCTTTAATCTTAGCCAGAACAAAGCTTAAACTTACCTCAATCAAGCCTTGATCAAAGCTTGATATTTTCTACTTCAATTGCATATTTGGAGACTCTCTTCCAAGGTCAAGAATTTTGTTTGGTAGCACCTCCCTTATACCTTTCTATTTTTGGCCGAATTATTGCAATATGAGGGGGTATTTATAGACAAAAAAATATGACCTTTCCTCCCCATCAATGGCCAAAATTTGGCTAACAAAATGGCCAAGTGGTTGCGATCCAATGCCCTAAAATTTCAGATCATACCATGTGTCCAGTCTCTAGAATATTCCTACTGATATTTTAACTGAAATTAGGCTTAAATCCATTTAATTATTGGGCCAATATTTTGCACAAAATTTTAGACTTTTCTTGGCATATAATGAAGTCCAAATCTGACCCAAAAAGAAAGAAAAAATGGAGCCGCTCATAAATATTAATTTCAAACAAAAATGCAGTTTATCGGTTACTATTCACTTGTAACTTTTCACAATTTCTTTAGACCTCCAAAATTTCATTTCTCTCTATGAAAAATCCCATTTTAATATAAGAATATGATTTTAAAATATTTAGGATTTTTCTCCACCTGTAACCATTTATTTTGAATTTTCTTCGACTAAGGCTTTATCGGTAAGTCTGCTACAAATAAATTCCGAAAAAAAAATTCTTGTACCTTCAAGGCATGAAATCAATTTTATAAATCCCAATAGTTATTTAGATAATTATTCCATATTTTTTATGAAATTATTGAGGCTTCTAACTATTTAAAATAATTATTTTCTTCCTATTTTTTATTATTTTTCTCGAAAAACGATTGTTTCCAGGAAATTTCGAAATAATCTATTTTCATACTATTTTCATTTTTAGAGCCTTCATTGAGGTTTCAAAACCTCTAACTTACCTTTTTACCATTTTTCGGGAATTTTCTGGAATTTTTCTCATAGTTTCCCATTTTGCCCTTCCTAGATCAATAATTTCAGAAATATCAGTTTGGACCTTATTTGAATTTTATGTCATACCTGGCTTTTTCAACCAGTCTACCTTCCATATTGGCCCCTGACTTAATTTTTCATTTCCATTACCAGGGTCAATTTCTGCAGGATGTGACAGTCATGGTCAATTTCTGCAGGATGTGACAGTCATCGCCTGTGTCTTGGTGGTGAGTTTGATTGATCCGAAGCCATGGTCGACTTAATCGACTCACTAGGTTCTTCATTAGGCATCATTTGGTAGGTTGATAATTAGAAATTTGGGTAAACCTCCCCGTCTTGCTTTGATACCATGAGAGTAGGGAGGCAGATTTGATGAATTTCGTATATTGTAATTCTGTATTGGATATGGTATAGGGAATATATACTCTAAGCCAACGAAATATAAAAGAAAATGCACTAAAACCTGTACCCTAGTTTCAACAATAAAAAATCAATCAATGAAGAATCAGATGAAATCAGTTAAATGGCCTTGATTCTTAGTATGTAAACTCGAGATTTTCCACACAAGTTAAAAAATCCGTTGCAGAACGACGCTTATCACTCAGTTATATGTACTAGAGTTGAACTAATTAAGAGAATATATTTGATAGATGAGATATAGAGATTGATCTTTGGTTGGACGACACTAGGAGCATGCTTATCCATATATGAAGCATATTACTTTATATTGATTCTAGTTGCATTAAGGAATAACAAGAGATTTAAGTTTGCAACTTGGGTTGACAGAACATCAGCTCAAGATGAGGACGATAAGAATATGTTTCCGTGTTAACAACTTACCTTGAGGTGAGTCATTAGGACTCAAGTGGCATACAAACATTTTTCAGAATGATCTGTGCAATCTTAACTAATCCAAGATATATAGACTTAAAGAGCTGGGATCATATTTTATGATAAGATCGAAGTCTATTAGTGAACAGGGATATAGATTTTGATATGATTTGTGCTAGATGAAGCCGTCTCATTTAAATGCAAAATTCTGATTGTCCTAATGTGTACCATGAGGAGGCACATGATTGGAGTTGAATATGGGAAATAGCTTTGGGGTATAAGCATAGATATTCGCTTAGACAACTCAAAACTAATCCTTGCCTCAAGGTGATGCTAGGTTTGAGACAGGTCATAGGACCCATACATTTTCAGTTCAGATAACTTGGGAAATATCCATTTTTTCACATTATGTGCTTAAAGAAAATATTTATGGAGGTTATGTATAAGTCTTGTTTTATTGTATATGGGATGTAATTATGCATGTGATAGCGATAGCCAGTTACGTATTTTATTATATATTAGTTTTGAGATTGTGAAAATGAAAAGTTATGGATTTAAACGGTCACATAAAAAGTTGTGGATTCTTTAAGAAGACCCAGAACATATGAAAAAGTAACTTATTAAAGTTTCTATAATTTTGAGAAAATAATTTTTTTGGAAAAATTGGACAGGATTTTTCAAATGCTTTAACTTTGAATGACTTGCTTTCGAATTTTATAGAATTAGTTATATTTTTTCAAAGTTTGGAAATAATTCTATTTTACTGAGTAAATATTAACCCAAAAATATTATAAGTAAGTTTTTAAATTTTTAATTATTTAAGAGTTAGTTTTGGGTCAAAGGTAGCTCTTAAGCAAACAAAATATTCCTTTGGTCCTAAATTTTATAAGACTCATTTTGTAGTATAAATTATACTACAAAATAGGTCTTATATTTAAGACTGAAAGAGTACCATAATAAGTGACCCCAGATGAAAAACTCTTATTAAATAACCCGGCTCATCAAAGCCGGATCTAAAATCCAGCAAAACCAGATCACACAACCAAGTCCAACCGCTATACACTGTAGAACTTTATGCTTTGGAGAAAGTATTGTATTCCACTATCGAATCACCTAGCCTTAACATGATTTCTGCGATTGCATCCATAGAAAGAGCAGAAAGCTTGCAAGAACATCAAGATAAATATGAATACGACAACTAGAAATGTCAGACACTGCCATGAATCAAACACATAAAGCTTCATAAATCTCCAAGCTTTAACGCTCATCCTACCATTATAGTACTCGTTCACATCTTCAATGACCTTGTCCAAGAATGGTACTTTTGTCAATTCAATGGATCTACCCATCCCATTCCATAGGTTAGCCACTTGTTCATCACTATTCAGGTGGTTCAGAACAATCCCTTTTTCTCTCAGTATCTTGGCATCTTCCCCAGAATCTATAATCCCATTCATAAATTCTGTGTATCTTGTGAAAACAAGTGGCCCACATGCAATTGATGCTTCATAAGCAACCAAGTTTCTGAGCAACACTTGACTGTTGATGTCTATGGCTATTGTGGGAAGGTGCAGTGTGGTTGTTTCTGCATCGAATCTGATTCTTTGAATTGCTCCATTAGTGGGTGAGAAGCAAATTCCAGAGTTTGAGAGTTCTGTAACACAAGGGATAACGATTTCCTCCATCAATGGTGGTTGTTTGAGATCGACAATTTCGGGTTTTTGTTGCTCTTTCTCTTCTGAGAAAAACAAGTATTCCAAAGAGTGTTTTATCATTCCAATCACTGGAAGGTTACAAATGATTGTCAAAGGCAAACAAATTATGATCTTCATTGGCTTGTATAACAGTACCTGAAGAAAATAACTAAATTAATCTCTGAATTAAACTCGATCAAAGTCACACATACAAATCTATTGTACAAGATTACATTAATTCATAGTACCCACAGATGATCTAAATGCAAAACGGACTCCAAACCAGGTGGTCTATCAGGGAGCACATTTATAATTTGTTTGGTATGAGGAAAACGGAGGGGAAAAAAATTTTAATGAGCTTGATTTGAAAATTTGGAGAAGTGGTATTAAACACTTTTAATTAGTTTTTCTTATTATTTTATCTTACATATTTTCATTACTAAAACTTTATAAACCCACTTGCTAATTTTTTTAAATTGAGCTCATTGAAATGTTTCATTCCCTAGGGTTAGAGAAATCTGACATAAGTTGATACACCTGTATATAGATTTAATTAATGTGAAAAAGAAGTCTAATAATACCTTCTGAATGAAACTTATTGAAGACTTGGTTAATTTTGAAGCCATCCTCCAAATCTTACAGGCATATCTCACAATGGATTTTTCATTTCCTTCCATGTCTCTATTATGGTCGTCAAAGTCAATCATATTTGGCTGTTCTTCTAATTTGGGCACAGTCATATTGTACAAGAAATCTAACAAATGTGCAAATTGCGAAACCTGATAGATCTCTGGGAAATTTTCTTTAATAGTCTTAAAAGGGGAAATTTCTTTAAAGAACCCTATCAACATAGCAAGAAGCATATCATCCGCTGATTCTATTGATGATAATTTCAACTCTAAAACTTTTCTCAAAACAAATAATGGGATCTGATTCTCAAGCATTAGTATGTCCCTTAGGATTTCATTATGACCTAATTTCCTCCAACCATAATCCATCACTCTTCCTTCTTGAAGAAACTCAAGGAGGAAGGAGGCATCAATAACCATCATCCACACTAAGGTTTCGCCATTGAAATTTAAGTACTTGTGGTAATAGGCTCTAATCCTATGCTCATATTTTCTCAGTTGGTCAACAAGATGTTCTAAGTTGAGGCTAATCTGAAGCTTCTTTTGAAGTCTTTTTGTTGCAGCAAGTTTGGCCCTCTCCGTATCCCTCAGCTGTGGACGCCAACAATGGTAAGGACCAATTGCAATCTGTTAAAAGTATAAATTCACAAAGATAAATAAGTTGATCATACTTACAGATACGATTTCTTCCTTATGATCAAGTGTCAAATCTAGAAAACGGTGGAATATAGTTGGTCAATTCAATTGAAAAATCAGTAAACTGATGCTTGAACTGGTCTAAAATGCTCATATACAGAATAAATTATTTTTAGAACTGATAAAAATACAATTAGAAAAAGGGGTTAGATTGTTAGTTTGATCGGTTCATAAATTTTACTATTATTTTTCAGTTGTTAGCACAAAATGGCATCGTATTAGAATTATTTTTGTCTTATAAAATGTTATATAGAAAGTATCATCCTGCATATGACTATAATTTTGATTAATGAGTATTATTAATTACCAATTTTGATTCAGTTTGTGATTATAATAACTTTATATTGACTTGATTAGATTTAAATGTTAAGTTGTGCAACTTATTTAACAATACTTTTGTTACGTTATTCTCTTTCAATATATATAATTAAATACATATTGAATTAAGTTTGATCAGTTTTACCAAAACGGGATAAATAAACCTTGAGTCAATGCCAATTAAATTTGAAAAATATTATAATAATCATGTTTGGTTCCTCCTAAAAATAATGTCCCAGACAATAAAATCAGTTGAATTCATGGCAGTATATATATAAAAGGAAAAGAAGAACAAGAAGCTAAACTATTAAGAAAATTACTCAATGGCCTACGACAGGGAGTAATTTCGAAAGATTAAAATGGAAAATTGATAAATTTATTAGGGAAAAAAATGTGGATTCACTTTAAGATCATTGAGAAAATATATATTAAAACCTGTTTCGGGATATAAGAATCTGGATCAATGGTCATAAGGGACTTGGGAACGTTGAAAATAGACTCAAGGAATTCGCCATCATCTTCTTCGTCAAGCTCTTCTTCTAGGGTTTGCCGGATGTGAATCACCCACCTAAGCTCATCGATGTCTGATTTGTTGAACTCATTTGAGAAGGTAGGTCTAAACAAAGACATGAATATGAGTAATTGAAGTATCTTGCAATAGCTGTTCTTGTTTCCCTTGAGAGAGATATTTAGCGAAGAAGGTTAATAAGAGAGAGTGATGAAGCTGTTATTTTTATCACTGACACGTCATTGATTTCGCAACTCCTAATGAAATAATGAGGAATGTTGGTTTATCTTAAAATTAATGCCTATTAATTCTGAGTTTCTTTTTGAATTTATGTTAGACAAAGATAAATAAACGACTTGTAGTTGGGTTTCAGTTTTTTTTTTTTGGGTGATATAATTAGGTTTCAGTTTATCTTCATTTAATTTTATTTTGTTTTACATTTTCTCTTAATTTTTTATCTAACTTATTCTTTGTTGAGAACATTGTATGAAGGGCAAAGAGCAGACCTTGGTTGAACACATAATTGTTTAAGGAACGAGAGTCCGTGTCACCCCCGGCAATATGAGTTGATCATGCATTTTAATTACTTCATACCCACTTTACAAAAGCTCTATGCATGGAACACAAATATTAGGTCGTGAAAGTATCCTTTTTATCTTTAATTGTATCGAAAATTTGTAATCTATATGTTTCTTTATGAGAAAAGGATGATTACTACCCAAAAAAATAGAGAAATATATGTCACTAAAAAACAAACATAATAAATATAAACATTGATATTTTTTTTAAACTTCTAAATTGAGTTTTTACGTCTATCTCTTTAGAATAGGCGGAGATTAGAAATTCTACGTTTGTTTTTTTGTTAAACAGATGTAAAAAGTCTTACTTTCATGTATGTTCTAAAAAAATGGATGCAAAAAAAAAAAAGAATTTATTTATTGGTGTCCTATTTCGTTCCCCCTTTCTTTGCTTTGCTTTGGTCTCCTCTAACTTATTTTTCTTAGTCTTCAATTGCTTCTCTTCTTCCTCCATCCTTAGCTCTCGAGAACCTTTAACCCATGTAGTTGTTAGCTTGCCAGCCACCATTTGTTCTTCGGTTCTCTGTTATGTTTGTTAGGACTGATCTTCATTTATTCTTCAATTTTGTTGATACATGTCCTCACTAAGGTCAATCTCTGTTAACTGGAGTCGTATATCCCATCTCTTGAATATATTCTCTTTAATAAGAGAATTCAAACCTAGATCAATATATTAATGATGAAAAGGTGAGGGGCCTAGATGAATGATGTTGCTACAAGCACCAATTGTTTATCAATGATACTGGCATGAAAAAGAAAAGAAACAATACAAATGACCAATAGAACTGTTAGATGAAGGTATATAAATTTATTGAAGGAATTAGTATGTGAGGGATTTAGGAACTTACTTGGCTACCCGGACACATTTCGATCACAAAGAGGAGTAAGAATATTATTATATCGCAAGTGCATTATGGAGCAAAGGGAAGAGAGAAAATAGTATAGAGGGAAAAAATGTCAAAAGTGCCTTATGTCATGCACACACATAGTCTTATAACCACTCTACAATTTTTCATTCAAAAACTACATGCTATTAACTGTTCCCTCCTATTATTTGGATGAATAAAGGACATTTTATGAATAATAACCCCAAACTCTTAGTTAATTATTTTGGACCCTGCACCTTATGGAGTTGGGCCTAATCCACTAAAAGTAGATTAGACATACACTACCACTACAAAAAAAAAATCATTTTGTCTATTCTGGAGTCATTTTTTCGTCTGTTTCATAGGGGACGTTGACAGAAGAGACGTAGATAGGAGAAACATACTCATCTGTTCATAATAGATGAATATGATCACTTCATACTTGTCTGTTCCAACTAGAACAGATAAGTATGAAGTGATCATACTTGTCTATTCTAATTGGAACAGATGAGTATGATTGTTTTATACTCGTCTATTCCCACATTAATGAGATGCCAAGTGTCAAGTGCCTACTCCTTCTTGAATTTTTCCTCTTAGATAACTTAAATCATAATGTAATTAAATTTCAAAGTCAGGATCCTCTCCATTGGTAGCTTGACACTTGGAAAGCATTAATTATCATCCATTGAAGGCTTGGCAAGTGGCAACTTATGGGCCAAGCAAAGTGTAAGACTCTAATTAACACTTTATCGGTGCACTTTTACTCTGGGTTTAACTTCTTTTCTATAATTACAGTGCTCTGGCCTCTGTAATTATTTTTTGTCAGATCCATAAATTATTCTCCTCATTTTTATCTTCCCAAATTGCCCTCTTTGTCTCAAATTTAATTTCCCAATAATTAAATAAAAAGGAAAACTATTTTCCTTCTCATTAGTGATTTTTCCTCTTTTCAAAGGAATTGGGAAAAATCTTGGATACTTGAGGGTCTTCTTTTAATTTCATAATCTCTTATAATTACTTAGGATATCATAGGAATTTTCTTGAGATTTTATTCTCCTTAAAAATATTTATTTAGAATTTTCCAAATAAAAGACCTTAAACTAGCTTAAATCGCCCTTAAATTCCTTTGTAATTTCTCTAAGGACAGTTTGGTCATAAAACCAATTTTATAATCCCATATAATTTTCAAGAAATATTGTCCTTATTTTTTCTTAATTTCCTGAGGCTTGGAAATATCTTTTCATAATTATTCTTGACCAATTTTTCTTAATTAGTCAAACTTTTCATAATCGACTTGGAAAATTATAATAATTATTTTCCATCAGAAATCTTCTATTTCTCATTATTATTTTTGACCCTTAATTATTTAGGAATATTCCTATTTCTAAATACTATATTACTGGATGTGACAAAAGTTGCAAGGGTATTTTTATTCTTTCTTTCTCTTCTTTATTTGCTTTTCTTCTCTTTTGTCTATTTGCCTTCTTCATTTCCTTTTCAATTTTTTCTATATTTTTCTTCTTCTTTTTCTTATCTCCTTTTTTGTTTCTTCATTCATTCTTTTTTCCCTTTCTTTTTGCACCCATGCTTAAGTATGCACTTCCTCATATCAATCCATCAATTGAATCCATCATAATGCTAGTGAATTCCACAAGGGATGAATAAAATGAAATATGCATTCCTATATGAAAAAGGTTATATGAATGGAAATGAAATGATTGGAAAAATCAACTAAAAGGCTCATATGGGCAACAAAGGATAAATCATGTAGGGATTGGCCGTTTGGTCTAAGTAGCTAATTTGAATGAATACCTCAATCTTGTTCAAGAGTACTAATGTTACATGTAGTCTTGATTAAGAGCTAAGACTAGTTTTAGAGAGTATATGAAACAAGTGAATACACACAAAAGAAATGAATAATAAGGCCCAAAGAATCCTTCCAACTAGGCTTTGTCTTCCATATTCATTCACTTAGGCTAAAGAATACATCATGTTAATCTCAATGCATCAGAAAATTTCACTTCATGATATTAATTTCCAAATCAAAATTAATCACAAATGCAACATTAAACCCTTGAAACAAGCTTATTCCTTCAAAAAGTTTTTTTTTTTGGGAAAACAGAGGTTTCTTTACACTTGATCCTTGTATTGCCCTCAATGCAATCTGAACAAAAGATAAGCAAGGAAAAGTGGTAAAGGAAAGAATGGGAAGAAGTAACAAAACACTCAAAATAAGCTAAAAATAACCTACACTTGTTACTAGTCATGCCCCTCCCCCACACTTGTTCACAAATGGAGTTCAAGAATCATAATATTCAAATAAACACAGACTAAGGTACGTGAGGTAAGGAAGGGGACAACCTGAGATTATAGTGGATCAAAATTCTCCTTGTAGATTTTGAGTAGGTAGCCATTGACCTTGAAAATCTTACCGTTCATCTCATCTAGCAACTCTATCATTCCAAAATTGTGCACTTAGTGACCAAGTATGGTCCTTCCCATCTGGCATTCAACTTTCCAGGTTTAAATTTGAACCGTGCCTTGTACAATAGCACTTTATCTCTAACCTTGAAAGTCTTCCTTAGAATTTGCTTGTCATGAATCATCTTTGTCTTCTCCTTTTAAAACCTGGAATTCTCATAGGCTTTAAGTCTTAATTCTTCAAGTTCCTGTAGTTGCATTAACCTTTCCATGCCAGCAGAATCAAAATCAAGGTTACATGCTTTTACAGCCCAAAAAGACTTATGTTCAATCTCAATCGGTAGGTGACACATTTTACCATAAACCAACCTATAAGGAGACATGCCTGTGGGGGTCTTAAATGCAGTTCTATATGCGCACAAAGCATCATCTAATCTGGTACTCTAATCCCTCCTAGATGGTTTAATCTATTTGCATTTTCAGCTTGCCCATTACTTTAGGAATGATAAGGTGTAAATGTCTTGTGTGTCACACCATACTTAATGAATAACCCTTACAGCAATTTATTACAAAAATGAGTACCATTATCACTAACTATTGCTCTAGGGATGCCAAACCTAAAAAAGTGTTATTTTTCAGAAATTTTGAAACAGTGGCAGCATCATTCTTTTTGGTTGCTATAGCCTCTACCCATCGTGAAAGATAATCAACTGCAAGAGGGATGTATGTAAAACCCATAGAAGGAAGAAAGGGGCCCATAAAGTCAATACCCCATACTTCAAATACCTCACAGAAAAGCATTGGGTGTTGGGGTAATTCATGTTTCTTAGTTAGGCTACCAAATCTTTGGCAAATATCACAATTCTTGCAATACTCATAAGAGTCTTTAAAGAGTGATGGCCAATACAAACCAGCTTCTAATATTTTCCTTGCAGTATTTTGAGCATTAAAATGGCCTCCACAAGTTTAAGAGTGGCAAGCATGCATGATGTCTTAGAATTCTTTATTTGGCACACATCTTCGAATGATTTGGTCACTACAGACCTTCCAAAGGATTGGAGGGTCCCAAATATAGTGTTTAGACTCACTCTTAATCTTCTACATCTGAAAATGAGACAATAAAGAAGGGATTAGACTAGCAACTAAAAAGTTGACAATGTGACAATACCAAGGTTCCATGAGAGACAATATAGAAACAGAACAATCGTTACACTCATCGCAAACAAAATCTAAATCAATTACTCCCCTTGTAGTTTC